GGGAAGGGCGGTGTCTTCATCGCCGAATTCTGCCATGGCTGCAATAAAAGAGCTAAGTTAGATAGATCAAGAAATAAAGCTAGGTCGGGAGGAACGGCTCGAGCTGAACCTTTCTTCTTTCGTTTCGACGGCTTGGCGACCGTCACGCCCATCGGTACGGGAAGGTACTTCTCCTTTAGCTCGTACGTGGGGGGCGGGAGCTTGGCGGCTGCGAGACTTTCAGCCGTCCGGAAGATTGTGTATTCGTGCACCTCGCTCGAAATCCGGCTGACCGTGTCCCTCAGCGCTTGCGTCTCGACCGGCACCACTTGCTTTCTGAAGTGGCTGCTCCAAGTGCGATCGACCGGGAGGATCCAGGGGTCGTATTTGATGGAGAAAATTCTGTTCTTCCACCCCTTGTTGTTCCCGGGCAGGCCTTTGATGGAGCACATATCTGTTCGGGACTGCAGCATCAGGAACCCACCCCCGTAGCGGCCCGGGAGAACCTTGATCTGGTAGATGAAGTTGAACAACTCCATCGTGCACTCGGCCTCGTGCCGAGCACATATCTGCGGGAAGCAGGCGAGGATCCGATGTGCGTTCGGGCAGATCTGGGCCGGGGCGACCCGGTAATAAGCCAAGAAGGCGTTCAGGAGGGGGGTGAAGGGAATGGCAATCGGGGCCATCAGGGAGTCGTAGGGCATCCCGATCCACTTGCCCCGATGCCTGTCAATCACGTTTCCCAGCTGCCGGCTCGTGTCGAATTCTACCCGACCCCGGAGTATTTCAGCAATCCGAGCCGCTTCGCCTTTGGTCAGCAGGCTCATTTCTTGCTCGACACTCTCGCTGTTCAAGAATTCGAGCTCGACAGCTGGCGTGGCCGGCCCGGCCGGGTCTTCTTCGGTCTGCTCGGGGGTATTTTCTCGATCACCCCCTCGAGGAGCAGCTTCCGGGTGGTCCCCAACCACCCGGGTAGGCGTTTCCCTAACGCCCTCGGTCGGAGAACCCCGCCCGCTTGACGTGGCTCTCTCTTCCTCTTCTTCGTTGGAGCTCCCCGATCCGCTGGAGCTAGAGCTTGACGTCCCGGAGGAGCTTGATGCGCTGTTATGCTCGACGGCTCGATCGGGGGCTGGCGTTGCTCGGGGGCTGGCTTCGGGAGTGTAGGACATAATGTCCACTTCCTCGTCGCTGATACGCTCGACCTCCTCATCGTAATCCGCGATCGAGGCGTTTTGACTATCCGAGTCCGACATAGTTCTACCTAAAGGTCGGTCGGGAGTTAGTACAGGGTTCGGGGAGTTAGCTCGAAGTTAGTGCTATCCTACTTCTACGCTAAGTAAAGAGTAAACAAAGAGTAAAAAGCTAAGAGCTTACCGAGTGAGGAAACTTTGAAGAAGGTCTGAAGTTTTGCTTTGCTTGATCGCCTTGCTGAGATGCTCTGCTCGGGATTCTTAGAAGATACCGACTGAAGCAAAAGAGTGAGGAAAGTTCAAATGAGGGCCTCAAGGGCCTATTTATAGGAGGGCATTTAGGCGGGAAATGGGCCAACTTGCCTGACACGACCCACGCTGAATCCGAGGCGACGGATGGGATCGCCGAGGCCGGCAGAGGCCGACACGTGGCGTAGGAGGGAATGACAGCTGGCCGGTCGGTCTAATGCCTGACGGTTGGGCTTCTTCATCCCGTCCCGTTTTTTCCCGACTGATCAAAAAGGCCCGGGCTGGGGGGCTCTTGGTAGGGAATATCCCGACCGACATAGCCTCACCACGACTGAGGAGTCTTTGTCTCTTTCTCCTTGTCTTTGCAGGTAACAGGTCGGGCTTCACGAGAAGAACCCGGTCGTAGGCCGACCGGAGTTGCCCGAGTGACGTTGTCGACCACCGAGCGGTAGCCCTTGGGCGAAAGAGCTGACGAAGGACATGTGGCGGCTCTTTACATCGACAGCCAGGGCACCCGGGAGGATGACACGTGGTGGCTACGTGGAAGACATGCCGAGCGGCTGGAATCTTGTCCCCGGCATAGCGGCTATAAATACCCACAGTAGCTACAGTGTAAAGGACTTTTTTGGACGATCGATAGGTTGTTGTTAGAGCATCCCGACCGCAGTCAGTCGGTACTCAGAACAACCAAGTAGATTGTACTTAGGGCCTTTACCGGGATCAATAAAGATTTTACTTGCTTTAATTGGTCTTGTGGTATTTTATATTGCTTACGTAGAATTAGCAGTATCAATCAGTTTAACTCTTAAGTTGTGTATGTTTAAAGTTTAAAGTGCGTAAGTTTATAAGTTAAGGTGTGTAAGTTCATAGCTTAAGGTGTGTCAATTCGAGGCACTTGATCATTTGCCTCCACGTTGCCAGGAAGCTCATTTAAAAAAAAAATCATTTAGTTCATATCTCACCCCATTTTCACCCGGGGGAAGCTTCGCACGTGAACCATCCCCTATATTGGAGTGGTTATGGTGCAAAGAAGGCCGCCGGTGAAACATGCGGATAAATCTCAGCCTTAGATCAAGTCCGATCCTCTAAAAAAAAAAAAAAAAGCTGTCACCTACGATCTTCAACAATATGCACCGGAAGGCACATGTGCTATAGAAGGCACAACAATGTGCACTGAAAGACAAAAATGTGCACTGGAAGACATAATGATGTGAAACAATTATTGAAAAGACTAAATTTAATATATGATATTCAACACAAACCATAAACAATCATAAATAATAATCGATCAAACAAAATTCAACTCAAATTAATAATTAGTGATCAAGATTAACTTATCTTTAAAAATAAAAAATAAAAAATCGCCACCTCTAGAAGGCTCAACAATGTATAGTCCAAGGCAAAATAATATGCACTTTGAAGGCACAAACAATGTGTTCTGGGAGGCTCAACAATGTGTACTCTATGGCAAAACAATATTCACTTTGAAGGCACAACAATGTGATATGAAAGACACAATAAGATGCTCTGTAAAGCTCAACAATGTGACCTGGAAGGTCAACAATGTGCACTAAAAGAAAATTAATGTACTCTGAAAATTACATCAGCGTGCTCTGGAAGGCACAACATTGTGCTCTGAATGGTACAACATTGTGCTTTGCAATAAGGGAACAAAATACCCTGAAAGACAACAAAAATCAACTTGCACAAAAATACCATAATGGCCCTGTTTTTTTTTTTTTTTTTTTTTTTTTTTTTTTTTTTGTGTTTTTTTTTTTTTAATAACTTCAATCTGATCCTTGATCTGGACTGAATTAATGGATGTGATTAACCCATTTTTTATTACCTAAGTTAACCTTTTCACTTATCTGTTGTGTGTGTGTGTGTGGATTTTGTAGCTTTGATTAGTTGCACTCTATAGTGTTAATAATTGCATTTTATATTGCTACTAGTTGTATTTTAAAGTTTAAGTTTTTACAAAATATCATCACATTTTTCAACATATGCATTTTGTAGATTTGCTTAGTTGAACTCTATAGCATTGAAAGTTGCACTTTATAATGTTACTATTTGCACTTTGAATGTTAATTTATTTACACAAATGTAATTGTGTTTTTCACCCTATTTGCTTCATATCTGTTAGGTATTTCAAGATGGACACCAAAGTGCGTCCTATAAAATACGGTGACAGTTTTTTTTTTTAAATAGCTCGAACGAAAAAGAAGCTAATAATACTATAGAGTGCAACTAAACAAAACTACATTTAAAAAAAAAATATTATTGACTCTATTACAATGTAGCATCTGTTCTATATTTTTTTTTTTGTAGCTCAACTTGTCAATACCCCACCATCGATTTGATCTTGTGATCTTCCCTCAAGGGGAACCACAGAGGTGTCATCTGATCACAAGGTGCTTGACACTAAACAAAACTACATAATGCATATAGTTTAAAATGTGTTGACATTTTTATAAATAACTCAAATTTTAAAATGTAACTAGTAATAGTATAATGTACAAATGTTAACACTATATAGTGCAACTAAGCAAAACCACACAGTTCATCTATTCACTGCATTTATACGTATGCGGGATGCACTATATGGTGATATTAGTTACACTATATAGTGTTATTATTTGTATTTTAAATTTTGAGTTATTTACGAAAATGTAACCACATTTTTTTCAATCCTCATTATTTTAAAGCTGTTAAGTCTTACAATGTAATATGACCAGTAACATTCAAAAAAAACTGTTAAGTCTTACTAGATGACGATTATGAGCGAGTCTCAATTCTTTCTTATTTTTATTTGATCCAAACCTTCTCCATGTATAATATTAATATTACCATGAAACACTTTACAATTATGAGACAAGCTAACTTCTTTTTCCATACAACATCCTCACGTTCAGATTCAATTCAAGTTACCCCCTAAAAGTTTAAATATTACTCGACATAAGTTTGACTTAGGACTCTTTAATAGGGTAAACTCTTTATTATAATTGTACCTTTAACTTTACAATTGTATTAATTATTCGTTTACCAATTATCCAAATTACTAAGTGCATGTTTAGTTGGATGAAAAAAGTTTTCTTTAAATTTGAGGAAAATATAATTTTCCTCATCTATTTGGTTAACAGAAAACTTTTTATACTGAAAAAAGTTTTTCTTAGTTTTGAGAAAAAAGTTTTCCTTGGGGTGGGGGTAGTATTTTGTTTTCCATGGGAGTTGGGAACAAAGTATTATATCATTGAATAATTTTGTCCGTATTAATTTTATTATCATTATCATTGTGTATATAGATTATATAATTTTTATATTTATTGTTTATTACCATTCCAATCTCAATCAAACAACGGAATTAATATTACGAGTAATTTTTTTTTCCCACAAACCAAAAAATGGAATCAATATTTTTTGTAATTTTTGGGAAATAGTTTTCGCGAACTAACGGGGCCTAAATTAAGAATAAAAATCTGCATTTGATAAACAAGAGCTAATTACACTTATTACTAATACTCTTTCTCAATTTATATGTTTTTTTTTTTTAAAGAAGCCCTAGGTACCCAGACTTTTCAAGTACGCTGGCGCGCTCCCTCGCTCACTACCTCTCCCTCTGTTCCAAACCGGCGCCAGCCCTCCCTCTCCAACGGCACTCCTTCTCCGGCAGCTCCGAATTAACAGGTTTGTTTTCTGTTTTATAATGTATACTTATTTTTGGCTCCTTTTATTGATTTTGGGATGAAAATAGAAGACATATATGCTTTAATTTTTATTTTATGTGTTCTCCTAGGTCAGAAATAGTTGAAGTAGATGATATATGTTTTTAAACATTTTGCTCCGAATTAAGCTTTCACTGGAAATTTGCCGTGTGTAAATATACTTAGGAATGTATTGACGATGAACTGTGAAATAGGTGGGGCATCCCAGCTGGTTTCATTGCAGGTGGGAAGAGAGATGATGGTGTAGTAGTAGTAGCAGTAGTAGTTGGATGACTATCAATGGCTGGTTTGCTCCTTGAGATGTCTAGCTTGATATCTGAGCTGTTCTCACTTCTAATACTGCAAGAACCTTCAGTCTCTTTGTTCAGATTAATGGATTCTGTGGGCTCATTGGCTCAATATTATCTCTAGTATTCTTTAGTGCCATTATCTGCAAATCAAATCAATAATTATCCAAATAATTATATGATCCCATCTAAAGGAAAATTAAAATGATAATGTTTTAAGTTTTAATAGGGTTCTGAGCTATGTTTAGTTGGTTCCAGTAGCTATGCTAGTGAAGAAACTGAATGGTTTTTTCAGGTTTATTATTTAATGCGGGAGCAAACCATACCTATAGATGCTGTAGTTCACTGTATAGTGATAAAAATGTAATATATGTAGTGTACATTTATTAAAGCAAGAAGGATCAAGACAAGCAGCTTCTACTTTGAACTTTATGGACATTGATTTTAGGTTTGACTGTTTGACAGCCATTTTTCTTTCGGCGCTATTTGCAGCTATATTTATCATTTCAACTGCAACAATCTCAGCAATTGTTGCTGCTCCCATAGCTGCAGGTAAATAAATTTGGTACTTTCTCTGATTTCTGTTATATATTACTGTGTTTCTGCATTTTATGTGTTGTCATTTGCAGTTATAAGTTTCCTTCCAAATAATCTATAGATGATGACATCATTGGATATGCGATTTCTTTGTATCAAATAGTAAATAAATAAAAAATGTCATATAAACTTTGAAGGTTAAAAATTTGCACCTAGAAGGCTAGAACGACGTGTAAGTCCCACATTAACATAACCTGCTATAATATTTATGTTGGCATTTCAATAAGTATGAACTGGAAGTTTACAAATAATATAGGTAAAAAGATCTAATTATAGGTTTTTAAAAAGTTCATGTATTTATTTACAGATATTTTCAATTTAATGATTTAATTGTATTTTTTTCAAATATTTTGAGAACTTATTTGACAGTTATTGTGTATATTTGCTAAAGTATAAACAACTTTCCTAGTTATGCTTTGTAATAAATTGCAACTAACAGCCCCCTTTCAGATTTGGGATATGGCCAGTGGCGTATGACTTAAAACTTTCTTCTCCCACCCTGTTCGCCCGCTCCATCTCTGGGAAGTACTATGGCCATGCCCACTGCTTGTCTCTGCTCTAAAAATGATAAGAAGAATACACATATTCTCAAAATCCAGTACCCCAATTCTCGGGAGAACCCTTTCTCATGGCCTCCTCCATTTCTCATCGTCGGCTACATTGTTGGAACTACGGGACTGCATATCATTGCTCCAAGCATGTGCGATCAAGAAGAATCTCAAAGTCGGCAAACAACTCCATGCCCACATGCTTGTGACTGGCCTTGTGAATTCCTCCCCACTATGCATTACGAGCCTCATCAATATGTACTCCAAATGCAATCCCAACTCCATGTCTGATGCTTTCTTTGTGTTCTCCACTTCACCGTCTCATGCTCGCAATGTCTTCATGTACAACGCCCTTATAGCTGGCTTCATCGCTCATGATTTACCCAAGCCAGTTCTTGAAATTTACTCTGAAATGACAATGTTGGGCATGGTGCCTGATAAATTCACTTTCCCTTGCGTAATTAAGGCGGCTTCTTCTTGCAACCATCTTGTATGTATGAAAAAGATCCATGGATTAGTGTTCAAGCTTGGGTTAGAATTTGATTTGTTTATAGGCAGTGCACTGGTGCACTCGTACTTGACCTTTGGCTTGACGGAGGAAGCAGAGGGGGTGTTCGATGAATTACCTGTGAGAGATGATGTTGTGCTTTGGAATGCTATGATTAATGGGTATGCTCAGTCTGGACAGTTTGACAGGGCTCTGCATGTTTTTAAGTGGATGATGGATGATGGGATTGCACCAAATAGATTTAGTGTTACTGGTATGTTGTCGGCTCTTTCAAATTCTGAGGCAGTTTATAAAGGAAGGGAGGTGCATGGATTCGTGATAAGGAGAGGGTACGATGAAGGCATTGCTGTTTTGAATGCATTAATTGATATGTATGGAAAATGTAAGCGTGCAAGTGATGCTCTGCAGGTTTTTGAGATGATGGATGAGAAGGACATATTTTCATGGAACTCAATAATATGTGTTCACGAACAGTGCGGTGATGATGAGGGAACCATGAGGCTTTTTAAGAGGATGTTATGTGCTCAAATGCAACCAGATTTAGTCACTGTAACTACGGTCCTCCCTGCTTGTTCTCATTTGGCATCACTGAGGCATGGCAAGGAGATTCATGGGTATATGATTGTTAATAGGCTAAAGAAAGATGGCGATGCTGCAGAACACAGCGACTCTTACATTGACAACGCTATAATGGACATGTATGCAAAATGTGGGAGCATGAATGATGCTCAGCTGATCTTCGACATGATGAGCTATAAAGATACAGCATCATGGAACATCATGATTAAGGGGTATGGCATGCATGGATTCGGTAAGAAAGCACTAGACATGTTCTCTGATATGTGCGAGGCAGAACTGAAACCAGACGAAGTTACATTTGTGGGAGTTTTGTCGGCCTGCAGTCATGCAGGCCTTGTAGACCAAGGGAGAGAATTTCTTGTACAAATGCTGCCAAAGCATGGCATTACGCCGTGCATAGAACACTATACCTGTGTGATTGACATGCTAGGTCGGGCTGGGCAGCTCGAAGCTGCTTATGAATTATTATTAACAATGCCTGTTGACCCCAACCCGGTAGTATGGAGGGCATACCTCGCTGCCTGTCGTCTCCATGGGAACACTGACCTGGCTGTGATCGCTGCAGAGAAGGTGTTTGAGCTTGATCCGGAGCATTGCGGAAGTTATGTTATACTATCAAATATTTATGGAGCAAATGACCGCTATGAAGAGGTCCTTGAAGTAAGAGATACAATGAGGCTACAAGAAGTGAGGAAGGTCCCTGGTTGTAGCTGGATTGAACTCGAAAATGGCGTGCATTCATTTGTTACTTGTGACAAGACTCATCCTCAAGGGGACCTTATATATGCTGGATTAAATTCATTAACTGCTCGACTGCGTGAACATGGGTACAGGACAGATGCCTTGGACTGCAATATATAAACTTCTGTTCTTGTTCAACTATGGCCAAAAAACTTTCTTATTATAGTGAGATTAATTTATTTATATATTAATTCTTGGTATGTTTAATGAAGCTATGTTTTTTATTAGGGATGTCAATTATACCCGCACCCGACGGGGAACCCGATTCTTCGCCCCCACGGTGACGGTGATGGGATAGAAATAAGGGATTGGGGCTGGGGATGGGCCAATTTTAAATTCCCTGCCGAGGACGGGGGCGGGGATGGGGAGTACTCTCCCTGTCCCGCCCCATCCTCGATATGTATGTATGTATGGCCATACAACACACATATGTATTACTTTGTATACAATATATATAATTTTAGAAACATTCTTGTAATTATATGTCATTCTTATGAAATGCATATTTAAATAATATGTTTAATTTTAAAATATTAAATACTACTTTAAGTTGGGGATAAATATATATGCATTATTTATTTAAATGTATTTTAATGTTTAATTTAAAAATTTTTTATAACTTATTAACGGGGTGGGAATTCCTGTCCTCGAATAATCCCTGTAGGGATGGGGATGGGGGGAGTTTTCCCTTCCCCGACGGGGATGGGGACGGGGAATGGGAAGAAAGTAGGGGGCGGGGACGGGGGTATGTCCCCCACCCCTACCCCTCCCCCGCCTCGTTGACTTCCCTATTTTTGATTCAAAAGAAAAGTATGTTTTTAACCATAACCAATTGTATTATACTCTAACAAAATAGTCACAAATACTAGTTATACAAAATAATGCGACAAGTAAAATCATGCCAAAAAAGAATCATTAATTTGAAACGTGAAAAAAATTTGTTCAATACATCTCCGATGGAGGAGATTAAGTCAGGGAGATAAGGGGAGAAACAGAAATAAAACAATTGGAGGGGAGCAAATCATATTTTTCGACGAGAAAGTTCTCTCGAGAGAATATGAGGTCTGACACTTATTGCGTTGAGTGGGGAATAATTTGTACCCCACTTTAGCAGTGCATTTATTATTAAAGAAATTACTGATTTTAACCTCAACGGCTAGTCGTTGAGGCTGAAATAATGTTAATTACCAAGTTTAATACAACTCAACGGCTATTTAGCCGTTGAATGTGTATTAATTTTTTTTATTTAAAAAATAATAATTTTAGCATTATATATATAACTAAAGTTTTAGACTTAAACACTTTAAGTTTTAGACTTAGGCACCTACATGCTACAATTATAAATTTACGCACCTTAAGTTATAAATTTACGCATCTTAAGCTATAAACTTACGCACCTTAAATTTTGAACTTTATGCAAATTTATATAATGCCACCTCGTTTTTTTTTTTTTTTTTTAAATTCTTTAATTTGACTGCTAATTTTAGCTAGATCAAGGGTTGGGATTAAACCCAATATTTATTTATTTATTTAATATATATATATATATATATATATATATATATATATATATATATATATATATATATATATAATTTTGTTATTTAAATTTATTTTTATTTAATGTGGAGTATCAAAATTATAAAGTTAAAATTATTAATTATAGAAAAGTGAATAAAATAATATATAATGTATAGGAGTGAAAAATAGTAACTACAAAAATGGAAGAAAGGGGGAGAAGGGTTGGAGGGAAAAATAGGAAGGGAGATTAAAAGTGTGAGCATATAGCCATTAACGTGCAATCCGACTATCAACTTAAGCTTTTAGTTGAGATGTAACACATGCTTCAATTTGGTATCAAAGCCAGACCAAAGGTCATGGGTCCGAATCTCATCTATCAACTTAAGCTTTTAGTTGAGATGGAGCACATGCTTCAATTAAAAGGAGATAAAGAAGAGTTGAGACAACAAAATGAGTAGATAATGAGACAATTATTGTGGATGCCTAAGCAATTATGGTTTTTTTTATTTTATCGTCACTAGTTTGCTTTTGGATTTTATTTTATTTTGTTTTGATTGTAGTTTAGCACTAGCTGATAGGATAGCAACAAAAGACGTTTTATTTTGATTGTAGTTTAGCACTAGCGGATAGCAACAAAAGACGAATGGCTCATTCTTTTAAGGTTGTGGTGGAGAAAACACCATTAAAGGTAAAGGTGCAGTGCCCACATACAATGTTGACGAATCATCCTAAATAGTTTTCTGAAATTTTTACATTTAATTTTTAAAATTTGTATTAAAAAAAAAAAAAAAGAAGAAATACACTCAATACGGTCCTCTAGTGGCTCAAACCCATGAGCTCTTATTTTGGGAGAGTACCACTAGACCAGATCATTAGCGAAGAAAATGCTTTTTTAGAACAAATGCATTTTTAAAAGTTCTTACTTTTGTACGAAATTAAAACATTTTCATATCTAAAACAGTAAAATTTAATACGTCTACTTATGTACAAATTTAGAAACTTAGAAGTTTTGTCTACCCCACTTAAAAGCTTCCCAGTTTTTATATTACAATGTTTTTGTAATAATTAACTTGATAACCATAAATTCAACTTCTTGTGAGTTGTTTAGTGGTTTTTCTTGGTTGGAAGGATCTATTATGTTGTGTTTAGTTCATGGCTTTATACACTAAGAATGAGAATCGAAATCATAATTATTATTTGGTTGACAGTTTTTTAGAACACCTTCAATTAAGAACCCCATCCCTAATTAAAAAGGGATATCATTATATTGGTAATTTGATTTTTAAGTTTACATTAGTATTTTTAAATTTTTGTTTTGATTTTTTGTTTATGTTGGTAATTTGGATATCATTATACTCTTTTTTGTTTTAGAATGTCATTATACTTGATGATTTGTTTTTGGTAATCATTCCAATTCAATTTTACTACCATACAAAATACTTTCACCAAAATCTATTATATATTTGATTTGATTACGATCCTGATTCCAATTTCCATGTGGGAATCAAACACATTGGATCATCGTTACTTTTAAGGTTAGGTTCTTGTAGTGTGTGATGGTAAGAACTAAGAACTAAGAACGAAGAAAGACCCATCCATTGACGTTAAATATTCAATGAAGTTGTGCGGTTGATTATTCCAAGTGTTGGTCTTTGACTTAGCTGCAAAAACATGTCACGTAACTTTGCAGCTCTATTCCTGTGGTGGATCCTTGTAGTTGTAGGCACCTGGCCTCAGCCTCTGCTGTCGTACGCAGAGGAAACGCCGCCCCGGCGCGAGATAACTAGGGCGCGGCACGGCGTTGTGGCGACTGATGATCGGAGATGCTCCAGAATTGGGAGAGATGTGTTGGTTGACGGAGGTCATGCCGTTGATGCAGCGGTGGCTGCTGCTCTTTGCTTGGGTGTTGTGAGCCCCGCGTCCAGTGGTATTGGTGGCGGCGCGTTCATGCTGCTTAGGTCGGCCGACGGCGCCGAGGTCAAAGCCTTTGACATGAGAGAGACTGCTCCCAATCGTGCTTCCCAGGTACATATAAATTATTTCTATCTATAATCTATGTAACAGAATGCACAGAAATAGGGATGCCGTTGAGATTTATGCGATTGACATGCCAGAATATGTACGCAAAAAATCCAGACGCTAAAGCGAGGGGGGCGTTATCCATTGCTACTCCCGGGGAGCTTGCAGGCCTATATGAAGCATGGGGAAAGTACGGCAACCTTCCCTGGAAAAGGCTGGTGAGGCCGGCAGAAAGGCTCGCACGAAAAGGATTCGCGATATCCAAATATCTGAGGATGCAGATGGAATCAACAGAAGCTCTAATAATGGCGGATTCGGGACTGAAACGGATTTTTGCGCCGGAAGGGAAGCTTTTGCAGGCCGGGGATATCTGTCGCAACAAAAAGCTGGCAAAAACACTGAGAATCATTTCTAAACTGGGCGTGGCTGCATTCTACAATGGCTCCATTGGAGCGCGTATGATCAGAGACATTCAAAAAGCTGGAGGAATCTTAACAACCGATGACCTAAACCATTATCGGGTTAAAATCAGGAAACCAATTGTCACAGATGTTATGGGGCTCAGACTAATCGGAATGCCGCCTCCCTCTTCCGGTGCTGCTGCTATCACACTTGTAAGTCAGATTAACCCTTATCAGGTTAAAATCAATTCACACAAACGTTGAAGTTAAATTCACTTGAGTTGCACTCTCACAGATACTAAACATTCTGTCGCAATATGGATTCTCTCCAAACATTTCTCCAGCCCTGCAAATACATAGAGAAATCGAAGCCCTGAAGCATGCTTTTGCTCTAAGGATGAGTCTGGGAGATCCTGATTTCGTTGATCTCAAAAACGTTCTAGCTCATATGCTTTCTCCCAAGTTCGCAGCAGAGCTGAAGAAAACGATATTCGATAACACCACTTTCAATTCCAGTCATTACGGTGGCAGGTGATCATATCTATTAACTTCACATATTTCCAACTTGTTAATTATAAGATTCTAAGTTCCACCTCTATTTGTACAGTGACTGCTGGTTTTCCTCGTCTTTCAAAAAAATAATTCTTTGATTTTGATGCAGGTGGAACCAGGTTCAAGACCACGGAACCAGTCATGTATCAATTGTAGATAGCAACAGGAATGCAGTCTCCATGACTTGTACAATCAATGCATATTTTGGGTCTGCTTATATGTCACCAAGTACCGGCATAGTCCTAAACAATGAGATGGATGATTTCTCAGTTCCTGGAAATGATTCCACGTCTCGTCCTCCTGCTCCCGCCAATTTTATCCGCCCATTAAAGCGGCCATTGTCGTCCATGAGCCCCACCATTGTCCTCAATGTACTATGCTTTATCTGATTTTGTTCAACTATTGCATTGCTGAGTGTCTAGAGTCACTAATCCTAGTAATGAGCATACAGTCAATCAGTCATAGTATAATTTTTGTGTTGTGTTACAATGTTTGGTTTTATTATATTTTTTAAGTTTCTTGGTCTCAATCCAATTCTTTATGTCCCTTTAGGGTGAGCATTTGAAAGCTGTGGTAGGAGCAAGTGGAGGAGCAATGATAATAGCCGGAACAACAGAGGTTTTCTTGAACCATTTTGCCAAGGGG